ATTCAATGCCTGTTGTGGGGATTGTGTATCTATGGGGGGTTGGAGGCTGGGTGCCCTGGTTGGGATTTTTAAGAGACGATGCTCTGCCCAGCTGAAGGAACTGGGAGCTCAGCCTTTCTCAAAAGAGCGACAGTCCTGGTTGTGTCTCACTGGTTGGAGCAGGTGGTGGGTCATGTATTTTGTTGAACGAATAAGAGCAGACAGCAGAAGTTAAGTAAATGTGGTGGGATGTATTTCTGGGTACAGAAACTGCAGTTCTTGCTTAAAGGTGAAATCCATGCTTGTGCAAGCAAAATTTTTAAAAAGCAACAATCAATCATCTTCTTTCTGTCCTTAAAATGTGGACTTGAATTTTGGGCCAGAGTATGCAGTTTTTGTGTACCAAGGCTGATATTGAGACCAATAAATTTACTTTTTATTTAGTAAATATAATGCCTGAATGCATCAATTGATGTTTAAAGGGGTTTACCAATGTTTCCATCGTGTGCCAGTCCATTACGCTTTATGGAGTGTGAGGACCACAACCTTTGAAGAAGAGCTTGTGGTACCTGCTTCATTTGTAGAAATTAGTCTTAATACTTGACATTTTCAAGGTAGTGATAGTTGATATAACATTTTTAGAGTAATTAGGAGCATGAATTTATGCTCAGATGGATGTTTAATTAAAAACTGTGGCAGCTTTGAAATTCATGCTTGAATAATCTTGAGGCTGAAATGTGGGTTTATACCCAAGTGAACCTTGACAACAAATCTGGAGAGGGAAAAAATGCTGTAGTAGCTCCAATTTCCTCCTATTTGTTTTATGCCATCGCAGCCATCACGGCATCTGTAACGGTGCCGAATTAAAGATGAAAGCAGATCTTGCAGTTCAGCCAGGTCGTCATGTAGCCAGATGCAAAACCTGCTTCAGGGAAAGGGACAGGAGGTGTTGGAGGATATTCGTATGTTTGAGACCTCCAGGAGCCATACCCCAAGTGATGCTGGCAGTGGTCCTTCAAACCTTGCAGTGCTTACTGTGAACAGCCAACATGGAGCGGTGAAGGTGCCTGTTGGAATTATCTCCTTCCTGTCCTTGATCTTCCAGAGGGTTCAGTTGCTGCCCTGTGTGAGTATGGAGGAAGAGGGGGGTAAACTCATGCTTATGGTTGCCCAAGGAAGTTGTGGATGCCCCCTCCCTGGAAGTGTTCAAGGCCAGGTTGGATGAGGCTTTGAGCAACCTGGTCTAGTGGAAGGTGTCCCTGCTGATGGCAGAGGGGTTGGAACTGGATGATCTTTAAGGGCCCTTCCAATCCAAACCATTCTATGATTCTATGGAATAGGTTTCTGAGCCTTATATCCAAAGCAAAGGTGATGTCATGCAGGAGCTTGAGCTCCACAGCAGGATGTGGCTGGTGGTACCACGTTTTGGATGCTGGGATGTAGTGGCAGCTTGGGCTTTGGGAAGATGCTGGTCCTCTTGCATCTCTCACACGATGTATGAGCAGCGGGAAGCAGCTCACCCACCACACAGAAAAATCCCCAACAATGCCAGGAGACAAAGAAGGTGAGAAGACAGAATGTTACAGATTGCTAAAGAGCAGATCAGCTCCTTTTCTGCGGGCAGACAGACAACCAAGAGCTGTTGGCACAGATTACTGAGCAGGCAGGAGGCGAGGAGGGCGCGGGGAGCAAGGGTGGCTGCAGTGATTGCTGCTCCCCTCCGGCTCCCTTCACTCCTGTCACCAAAAATGATGGTGGTGGTGTAGTCTGAAGGCTCAGAAGTGACTGCTTCACCCTGGAAGGGTCTCATCCTCCTGAAGGCTTTGCCTCCAGGTGCCTGTACCCTCTGCAACATCTCCAGGTCGAGCTCCCCAGCATAGGGGAACCAAAAAGAAGGGATTTTGAAAAAGCAGAGAATTTCTGTTGAAATTGTACATAGTCACCTGCAGTCTTACCTGTTTTGACCCACATCTTTGTTGTGGGGGGAACAGAGGTGACCCCAGGAGCAGGAGTTGGGCTCAATCGTTGTGTGGTTTTGTAGTGGATTGTTCTGCTCTGGTGATGGTTTAAAGAAAAAAGCCAACAAGTTTTGACATGCAGGAGGTAAAAGCAGATTGTGACAGGGACTTTCTGGTGCTTTTCTTGGTCTTGCTGCCCCAATCCCCATTTGTAGTTTTTTAACAGCAGTGCAGTGTTCACTTACCACTCATTAATTAATAGCTTCAGCTTGCTTTGGCAGAAATGGCTCTGCTGCCCAGTCTAGCCCAGTTCCCTTGGAAAGGCTGCATGGACAAGGGTGCTCCTGGTCCTGCTCCTGACCTTTGGGCACGGGCGCTTACTTCTGCATGGCCAACGTGCAGGAGGTGGTTGTTGGCTGATGCCATCAAAGGGCTTTTTGCTGTCGTGACATCTTGTCATGTGTACAGGTCACAGATGCTGATTTTCTTCTTTCTATTGCATCTGTCACTCTCAGTTTTCAGTGTCCTTCTCCAACCTGCCTGTATCTGTATTGCAAAACCAGGAATGCTTGCGGTAGGGTGAAAATCAACCGGTTTTCTAAGCTATGTATGATGGTTTCACTGCAAGTATCAATGCTGAGCACTAGGTATGTTGAATTAAAAGGGACAGTTAACTGGTGAGGACGTGGCTTGCTTCCCTGGATGGAGGTGGAAATCTACCAGGATGAAGCTCAACAGTCCATCACTGCAAACAGACTTTGAAAAAGCAAATCTTTGTTCTGAAGTTCCAAGGCTTACTTGGTTCTACTTCACCTGAGTTTTGCACGACTAAGTGTCCTTCATGACTTACATTAACATAGGTTTCAAAGCAGTTTATTTTGTTTTGGTAAATGTTCACACAATATGAAGTTCTTACCTTCATCTGTAAATACTTAGGAGGTGTATGGGGCAGTGACAGATCCCTGGGGGAAGGATGATATGGGCACACAGGGCTCCTTTTCTCCTTGGCCAGTATCAGAGGTAGGCAGCAGCACTCCACTGCAGCAAGGCTGGGGCATTTCCTTAAAATACCAAATGAGATGGTGATAAGTCAGATGGAGGTGGGTATAACTAACAAATACATGGTTTGAAATGCCCCAACTTGCTTCCTCATCTTCTCCATTTCATGGAAGGTGCAACATGCCATGGTTGTGTCCGAGCGCATTCCCTGCTGGTGCTCTGTTGGCTTTAATTAAAGTGTCGATGAGCGCGGGGGCTTCTTGGCCAAGCAAACAAGGATGAATTTAGGAAGAGGAGGATTTGTTTTTGCACATCACACTGTCTAAATAAATGGTGTCTAGCCACATGCCCCTCCTTCCCCACGCCTGTGTCCGGGGGATGCTTCAGCCGCAGCCTGGTGCTGCTGGGCTACATTTTATTTTATTGTTGGTTTGGTTTTTTTTATGTTGCACATTTTAAAATAAAACTCTTTTTTCTGTTGTTAGAACATGCGGTTGCTCAGGACATATAAATTGTGTTAATAAATGAGTGAGGAGCCCTGGTGGGTGAATTGGCTTCCTGGTGAAGTCATAAATTTGGAGAGGATGATGCTGCCTTGCTCCGCAGCTGGTGCGTGGGTTTGCTCCCCAACGCCGGGGCTGGGGAGAGGTCCTTGTCTCTGGTGATTTGGGGTTTCTGCTGGAGGCAAGATGGTGTGATAGACCCTCTCCAGCCTGCAGGATTGCTGGGCAAGCTGGGCACAGACCCCAGCTCATCAACAAGCACAGTGGTGGGGGCTGGAAGAACCTGCAGTTTAGGAAAAACTCATATTTTTCCTGGTTCTGCCGTGCTGCAGCTTGACCCCTCTCAGCCTCTGCTCCTCGTTGTGTCCTTGATATGTTAATTATCAATGCTGCAGGGCAGGAGCTGCCTTCCCTGTGTGTCCTCCATGTCGTATCTCATGTGGTGGGGCCTTGGGCTGCTCCTGTGGTCCAGAGTGACTGGGAAATAGAGATGCTTCCCTTCTCCTCCCGGCTCTCCTGCCAGGATTGGCGTTTGCTGGTTTTCCTGGAGAAGAAGCATCTTTTCCTCTGACTCTGCCTGGTTTGTAAGCAGCACACGTACCCTCAAATGGAGGGCTTGGAACAATTTGATATGAGCAATTTTGATATGATATTGGGTGATCCATTTCTTGGGAGAGGAGGACAGACAGGGAATTGGCTTGCTTGATAGCAGTTGTGTTGGTTTAGAGACACCATCAACAGTTTGGGTTCTTTTACAGTTTTTCCCCATCACATCCAGAGATGTTTCCATTAGGATTCAGATAGTGGAGCTCTACCTGCCAGGCAGTTCATTGCAGTGATTTGCTGATTTTTTTTTTTTAGTTGCTGAAAACCAAAGAGACCATATGTGTCAAGGGGCTTTTGTTCCCACCCTGGCTCTCGAGCATCTCCTCTAGCTGCACGCTCCCTGCTTGTGCCAGCGCTAAAGAGAGGGTCACTTCCACAGCCAAGAAGCAAACTGGATTTTAAAACCCTCTCTAGCCTGCTAACCGAGGCTTTTGCACAATAAATAAATGAGTGGGCAGAGTATATAATGGTGCCCTGCAGGCTTGGAGTCCCTTGGGTGTCCCCAGGTCCATGAGAGCTGGGACTTGGACACGAGGGGACCAAATTAAGTGCCATGGGGTGCCCCAGGCACCACATTCCCATCATCACAGCTCCAGCAGACCAGTTCCAGCCGAGTCATGCTCTGTGCTCAGGAGAGTCCCCGAGCTGTTTGGGTTTTTGGGTTTGTGGGGTTTTTTTGCATGGCTGAGCATTAAAGGATATTCCCAGCATTTGTTTGCCAGGAAAATACAACACTGAAGGCCCTTTACTAATCAATTGTAATGGCAGGAGGAAGGGGAGGGAATTGCTTTCCCATCATGGCTGCTGTGAAGATGCTCTTGAAAAAGAAAAAAAATAATTAAAAAAAAATGTGCAGATGCTTCCAGGGTGAGGAGATTGTTTAAGAATATTGCTCACTGCGAGGAAAACATTGCCACTGAGCAAAACAAACAGATTTCTCCCTTTTCTTTTGCAGGGTCGTCATGTTAAAACAGGCCAGCTTGCTGCTATTAAGGTTATGGACGTCACCGGGGTAATGGATCCTCCTCCTCCTGCATCCTTAAATTACAGATAAGAGGGGAAAGGGGATGGGGGGTGATAACGTGTGGGAGTTGGTGGAAAGTTTCTGTTCCTGGGAAACAAATCTCCTTTGCCTTCGTGTGAAATGTGCCATTAAGTAGTTTTGGTTTTAATAAATGTGTGAGAGAAACATAAACCTGGGAGAATTTTGGAAATGAAGTCATTTTATGCTGAAACAAAGCAGTGCCCAGTTCCAGCAGTGGCTCTTTTTAATGTGTTAATAAAATCAGAAGAAAATTGTAGCAACAGGATCGTGTTTTCATAACACATTTCAGTTTCTCCAAATCCATGTTTTTCAACAAAAAGCTTTTGTTCACCAAAACTATGTGCAGGTTTTGTTATTAATAACTTCACTAGGCAAGTTAAATTACTCCTGTGCATCCTACTGATAAAAAGGAAAAACTGCACCACCCTGAGCTCAGAAACGTGGCTTTTCTGAAACTTTTATCAGAGTAAGAGAACCAAGAATTCACAAGTTATTAAATGAGTAACAGGATTTAGGGGGAAGAATGGTTTCACCATTTCCCAGTGGCCACAAAAGAAAAAAAACTGAGTGGAATTGCTATGATCCCTAAAAAACTAAACAGGTGCATTTAGGAGGGTGACATGAAAGTGCTTTTTCTTTAATGTTTTGTGGTTTTTTGGGTTTTTGGTTTTGGGTTTTTTTTTAAGTGCAGTATTATACCTCCTCAAGTTCCTGCCTACTTAAACAATGCCACGTTTGGGAGTAAGAATGTGTTTTTATTGTGTTTTGTCTTTTTTTTTTTTTTACTGGAATCACACTTTTCAGAATTGGAGTCAGTCCCAATCTACCCACCTTATTATTTGAATTAATTACTTTAGTGAGCTTTCAGGAGTTGAGCACGTACAGCATTGACTCGCTGTGAAAGCAGCCAGCTGGCCTCAGGAGTATATTTTGAAATACCATGGATGTCATGGTGTGGTCTTAATATCTACAGGACCTTCATCCAGGGGGGTTTTTTGTGCTAACAGGTGAAATGATGCGTGGAAGTAAGTCCATAAATGTGAATGAGATTTGTTTCTGTTTACTTGCAATATCTCCAAGTGCCATTTATCTAGTTCTCGTGGGAAGCAGGCTCTGAGGGAATAGGCAGGCTCACCAAACATAAACCCATGGTATAAATAGCAGGGAGATTCCCATGGGATTGAAATCTTGAGGTTACAACAAATTTAAGCTGAGAAATCAAGAATATTACATTGAGGACAAACAGGGCCTTAAATTTGAGTCCACATTTAATTCAGTGGTTTTAAAATATTCCAAGCAAAAATGTTAGAGAAGAGTATCCCAAATCTGATCCTGCCCAATAACTAATATTTTCAGCTGTGTCTTTAAGCAGCTGTCCCTGATCTAAACCTTTACTTTCCAAAGCAGGGTCTCACATTTCTGAATGTCCAAGGTAGTAAATGAGATATTTGGCATGGGATGTGTTGTTTGGATGTTTAATTATTTTCCCCTTAAGCTGCTTTTATCCAAATTACAATGTCAGCTATTTTTCTTTTAATATAGAGTGCACAAACTTTTAAAGTTGGCTATCTAAAAAAACCCCTAAAACCAACCCCTAACTGAACTTCTACTGTCTCCTACTTCTTCTACCCCATTGAATACCCCATGTGGTGGCTTCTCAGCCTTGAGTGACCCCAGTATTGGGTGAGCAGAGAAGTAGCTGTCTAGCCAGGAGGTAGCAGGATCAGCTGAGGTGCGTAGATGAGACCTCCATCTCCTCTGAAGAGATGCCACCAGCCCGTGGTCACCAACAGAAAGTGTCTCAGAGAGGAGGACCAGACTTGGGCAGGATGGGCAATGACCACAGTGAAGACAGAGCAAATGTGTGATGTGGTAGAGGACTGACCGTGCTTCATAGCTCTTGATGCTGAAGTCAGATCTAGAGACATGTCCTCCAGCCACCGCAGGAATGGTCTCAGGAATCACTTCTGGAGTAATTTCTAAAGCTGGGCCCTGAATCATGCCTACAGCCACGTTTGGCACCTGGTCCAGGCTCATCGTGAAGGCTGCTGGTGACAACCCAAACGTGTCCATTCCAGTCCTTCACCACCTCCTGACATGCATCGATTTCAGTGCTGCCACTGCTTCAATTTATCCAGATCTTCCATCCCACCGGTTTTTCCAGGATGTCCCGGACGACAGTGTGTCTTTCAGAAGCCTACAGAGAACAGAACTAGTGTGGTCATCCCAACCATAGCCATCTGCAGTTTCATGGAGGAACTTTTTGGAGTGTAAAGCCCCAACATGCTACGTGAGCTCCCAGCCGGCATCTCATCCCCACCATGTGCCTTGCACTAAACACCCAAAGACTCCTGATGATGGTGCTTTGTTTAACTCATCTATGCTCTTGCTAATTATCTGTTAGGAAAGACTGCAGGATGGAGACCCTCAAACTACAACACTTGATCAGTTTGGGCAGCCACTATGTCTGAATTAAGAATTTGGATTAATTTTCCAGGGGCTGGTCTTGCTGTGTACTGCATGACCTACTTCCAGTGATGGATGTAATAGAATTGATTGATGGAGACAAAGCGTGGCAGCAAAACCTGGTCTGTGGGTTTTGTTGGGTTTGGGGTTGGAGTAATCACAGCAGCTTGCTGTGATCATTCCTTTTTCTTCCCTCCCTTGCTGGATTTGCTGGTGGCAATCACTGGTGATAGACCCCTGAGCCTGGCCACACAGACATGTCCTTACATGCTATCCTGACCTTCTCCGCTCTGGTGTTGTTTTTTTGGAGTGGTTTTTTGGCTTTTGAACATGTTTCCATCATTTTGAATACTTTGACTGAAAGAGGGACTTGAGATAGACCTTAGAGCAAGTATCCCTGTGGCTCCTCTCTATTTTTCCTAGTCAGGTGCTTTTATTTGTTCCTCTTGTCCTAATCTTCACTGTTCTTCCCTCAATTCTCTCTGGAAGACTCTAGTCATTAAGTCACTTTCTGTGGTTTGTGAAGAAAGCTGTGTTTCTGTCTATGTTGTATGACATCTGGTCGGGGAGCATTGCTCTTCAAGAAGAGCTGCTCCTGCAGCTTCACTCTTCGATGGGGTGTCTTGTCCTTTGCCCATTTGTAAAACTGAAGTCAGGATGCAGCAGGTGGGGGACACAAGGGTAATAAAGAAGAAGAAAGAAGTAAGAGCCCTTCTGATCCTTTTATAATAAAGCTCATTGACATCAAGGCACTAACTGCTGCTCCACAGCCTGTGGAATTACAGCGGGCTGGAATTTGGTCAGCTTAAAATAAACCCAGGGTATGTTTGATGGTCGTGAAAGCAAAGAGGTAGGACATCAAAACAGGCATCGGTGCAGTTCCCCTGCCTCGGCTGCTTCAGCTATCACCGCTTTGCAGATGGGACAGAGCAGGCCTGTGACACCCCACAGGAATGGTGCTTGTCACCAGGACTGAGTTAGTCTGGCAGAGAGTTTGTGGCACCCTGCATGGTGCCACCATACCTCCAATAATTCTTGGTGTCCCCAAACATCTTGCACTGCTTCTGGAGATGGGCAGGAGTGGTGTGTTGGATGGCCAGGATGCACAGTGCAGGAACACTTCTACCATGCAATGGTTTCTAGAAGACCATCCTCCTGGGCCTTGGATGGGTCTAGGAGGGTGTGCTGATGCATTATCGGGGTGGTGCAAGTATTGTTCAGCTTCAAAGCAATGTGATACTGATGTAAATGATGCTGTGAATTATAAAGGAATTAGTTTTAAATGAAGGAGGAATGTCTCAACAGCTGAAAACATGTAATTTGGCTATGATGTCAAAGTCTAGCACTGGTGACCTCTTGGATGTAGAGCGTATCTATGCGAGGGCTCAGTTCCTGACCAGACCTTGCCTTGTTCCTGCCCTGCAGATTGGTGCCCTTGGCCATCCCCGCTGCAGGGATTTGGCTGCTGGGGAGCTTCCTGGGGCGCTCTCTGCTCCTACTCATGCCACAGGGTTTGAAGCAGCACAAAGCGATGGTGGGTCATTAACCCATGCAAGAGGACTGCTGCTCACCCTTAAACTCTGCCAGCACCTTCGAGATCCCCTTCTGGAGGAGACACCTTGATCTGAACCATTTAGAAATGACCTGATTTCCACATCACCTGAATCACAGAATCACAGAATGTCAGGGACTGGAAGGGACCTCAAAAGATCATCCAGTCCAATCCTCCTGCCAGAGCAGGAACCTAAATGAGATCACACAGGAAGGCGTCCAGGCGGGTCTTGAATGTCTCCAGAGAAGGAGACTCCACAACTTCCCTGGGCAGCCTGTCCCAGGGCTCTGTCACCCTCACTGTAAAGAAGTTTCTTCTGAAATTTAAGTGGAACCTCCTGTGTTCCAGACCTGACGATCTGTCCAGTTCAGGGTTCAGAAATGGGATGGGGAATGTGGCAAAGTTTGTGTTTTCTCCTTAGCTTTTTGCTCAAGGACCCACATTTAACCTGTTAGTCTCCAGTCCAGACCTCAGGCTCCCAGGGCTCCACTGCCAAAAGTGGCTGTAAAAACTGATGTAAGGAGACTTAGGCAAGGTCAGTCAGAAACAGGGTGTGTGGAAGTTCACCTACATACAAGGAGAAAGAGGAGCCTGTGAAGTGCAATCTCTTAGTGCCCCTGGTGTTGTTTATCTTTTCTTTTTGCCTCATCCCAGGATGAAGAGGAAGAGATCAAACAAGAAATTAACATGCTGAAGAAGTATTCTCACCACCGAAATATCGCTACGTATTATGGTGCTTTTATTAAAAAGAACCCACCGGGAATGGATGATCAGCTCTGGGTAAGTTACTTTCTTTTCTTTAAAATAACTGGGGTTTGACACAAATTATTTACTCTCTGTTGTCCTCTTACCACCACCTGTATTGCACAAAAAGCCTTATTTTGCTTCTGTCTTTTTTGAAGTCATGGCTTTCAAAAGGCTCTTCCTGCACTGCAAAACGCTTCTTCATTTTGCCATAAAATCTTTGCAGACTGATGATAAAAAACATTTTTATTCTGAGTTGTTATTAACAACATCTTTTGTTAACAATATTGAATTGCAAACGATTCTGTCCTATGACAACAAATGCATGAAAAAAGCCATTGGAGGGAGCTGGGAGCGTTGCTGGGAAGATGGAGGCTGGGTGGGGGATGCTGGGCGTGCATGATTCCTGCCCGCTCTCCGTGCTGCTTCTTGTGCTTAATGTTTCACGGAGCCAGTGCAGGTGAATAAAGAGGAGGATGGTGAAGGGAGGGCGAGGAAGGTCTGTGACCATTCAGCCATTTCGCTGAAGATACCTCATGTTGCCAAAGGGCTGCAAGCTGCTTTGCCTCTCCATAAATCTTTGCCTGCCTCCTCCCACTGCTTCCCTTGTCAGTGGCTTTTCGGGT